CCTCCATTCTTATTTCAGCCATTGTGATATATCAGTATGTTGTGATGTTTAGCTGGTGATTTTTCACCATGTTGAAAACCAGATATCGCCCTAATGCCTACCCGACTCATGGGAACTATCCCTCGTGGGTTGGATCCTGCCACAAGCCTCAAAGCCTGGCCCAACATACATGAGGAAGTCTACCCGGAGTTCAATTTGACCAAAGGGGGCTGCTTCCTCTGAAGCTTGAGAACGTCTACAATCTACATGCAGTTTATGTTGGCTGCTGACCCCCTTACATATCCAGCCTTTTCTGTTTATTTTGGCCGAGTCCTCCTCTCCTCGAGGATAGATTTGCGTACTCTCTCTCTCATCCATCCCTATGGTTCCTCCATCAGCAGAAAGGAAAATGTATTTAGTAGAGCAAGATCCCCAGAGCAGATTGAAGGGTGTGCAAAATCAAGCAGCGTTCCCACACTAATTAAGTGAAATTCATCTTTGGTCCTGACATTTGTGCTCCCTGCTTATTTACTTAAGTTTCCCCCTAATCTTAGTACATCTTCTCCCTCCCCAGCAGATGAACACTTTTGGACTTCCACTTTCTGTGAGTGGTGCGAAGTTCAAGGCCACCTTTTGCAGAGGAAAGAACGCTGAGGATTTATGGTTCCCTTGCAGCAAACTGCTCTATTTACAAATGTACAGGTTGAGCAGGAATCGTGCATGTGGGGCTGGGCTGGGGGGAAACAGAGCAAATATATACACCCAGGCAGGCTGCTCAAGGTCTGCATCAACGCCCTTCCCAAAGCGGTCCTTGAAACTTGACTTTTCTGCAAAAATCAGCAGGTTCGTTTTTTAAAAAAATGTTATTTTCAAATTGGCCAGGCCCAGCTTCACAGACCTTGCAGGGGAGCTTATAAATGGATCTACAATGGTACCTTGGTTCTCAAACTTAATACGTTCCGGAAGTCCGTTCCAAAAGCAAAGCGTTCCAAAACCAAGGTGTGCTTTCCCATAGGAACTAATGCACAATGGATTCATCCGTTCCAGACTTTTAAAAACAACCCCTAAAACAGCAATTTAACATGAATTTTACTATCTAATGACACCACTGATCCATAAATTGAAAGCAATAAACAATGTACTGGAGTCACACAATCAATCAATCAGTAGCTGAACTGGGTTCCACATAGTCACAAAAACGAACAAAAAGAGCCGCAAAAACAAAAGTGCAAAATAAATAGCAAAAACAGGCAGACCTCAGCATAACACTCAAAATGGAAGTGTGGCACTCAAAACAGAGCATGTTTGGCTTCTGGACAAAGTTCGCAAACCGGAACACGTACTTCCGGGTTTGCAGTGTTTGGGTTCCAAGTTGTTTGAGTACCAAGGCGTTGTTTGAGAAACAAGGCACCACTGTACTGTTTTGCTCAGCCATTCATTACCTCCATGTCTTGTTGGTGATGAAGCTAAATGACTGCCAGAGCGGAAAGAGAGGTGGATACCAGGGCAGTCTTGTGCACAAGAAGATATATTGGCTAGAATCTTAAAATTTGACGATTATACACATACACAAGGGGGGCGGGAGACCCACTCTAGCTGTGACTGTGTTTTGAATGCTGTGATTTATACTGCTGCAAGCCATCCTGGGGCTGTCTGGTGTAGGGCAGATAATGAACATAATAACAAGTGGCATTCAACGTCACACTACAGTGGTACCTTGAGTTACAGACGCTTCAGGTTACAGACTCCACTAACCCAGAAATATTACCTCGGGTTAAGAACTTTGCTTCAGGATGAGAACAGAAATCGTGCTCCAGCGGGGGGAGGCCCCATTAGCTAAAGTGGTGCTTCAGGTTAAGAACAGTTTCAGGTTAAGAATGGACCTCCGGAACGAATTAAGTTCTTAACCAGAGGTACCACTGTATATGATAGACAAGGCAATGATGTGTACAATTTTATAACATGCAGAGAATAACACGTATAAAGAAATCAGAGACGGAAGCTGAGGGAAGTCTCTGGTGGGTGGGAGAGGGAGGGAGGGGGAAAAGGGGGGAAATGTAATTGGTTATATTGATTTATAATCTGATTTCTTAAATTTGTTCAATAAAAAAAAATAAAAATTAAAATAAAATCAGTTACTGATTGCATTTCTATGCTGCTTTTCATTCAAATGAATCCGAAAGCACCATACAAACAGTAATTAGCAATAACGTAACAGAAAATTATGAGTGCAGCATAAACCATATAAAATAATCAACAAAAATCATAGTCTCCACCAGGGTTAGTCGCCATTCATAGCCGCTGTGATTTTCTCTAATCTTTTCAATACCACTGTATTACAAAGCCCAGAGAAGAGAAGACATCAGTAAATTTATCCCATCTCCTCCCTGCAGTTTTCCTGCCCACAATGTTCACAATGCAACCACCCCAGCCCTCGGCAGAGGCTTTTCAGTGGAGGAGCGCAGGGACATAGCAAACTGCCTTCTGCTGAGCCAGACCACGGGACCACCAAGCTTGGCACTGCCAAAACTGCCCGGCAGTGGCTCTCCAGGACATCAGGAGGGTCTCCTGACACTTTGGAGAGGCATTTAGGGGATTACAGGTGGGCCAGGGCTCCAGGCACACGGCCTCCTTGATCTTAGGACCGAGGCCAGTTTAAAAGCAATAACAAATGCACTGTTTGCCTACGGCTGCTGCTCACCTGCCCCTGAGCTCTTACAGCCTCCATTCAAGGTGGCATAAAGCATAGCCATATGTATAATGCCTTTGCACAAGATAAAAATTAATGCCTAGTGGACCAGCGTTCCCCATGAGCTCGTAAAAGCTTTCAGGGCCCAGCTTAGCAAGCTCTATTAATCACGAGCGTCACTTTTACAGGTCTGAGCTCCAGCTGGGCCGGATAACAAGAGCTGCATTAAAACCGGCCAACTATCAGACCCATCTGGAAGCCATCATCTTGCATTTGGTCACGTGAAGAATGAACGCCAGCCAGCGGCTGGCTCTTTTACAAGCTGGCAGAATTGTGAAAGTCGCGCTGGCATCAAACCCCTGGGCACCCCCCACGGGGAGGGGATTTTACCCATCAAGCAGTTCTGCTCTGCTTTCCCCCCCAGAGCGCTTTCAATAGGGCCTGTTTTCGTCATACAGTCGTAGCTAGGAAGTCGAACGTAATCCGTTCCGGAAGTCCGTTCAACTTCCAAAACGTTCAGAAACCAAGGAGTGGCTTCCGATTGGCTGCAGGAAGCTCCTGCAGCCAATCGGAAGCCGCGTCGGACGTTCGGGTTGCAAAGAACGTTCGCAAACAGGAACAGTAATTTCTGGGCTTGCGGCATTGGGGAGCCAAAATGTCAGAGTACCAAGGCATTCGGGTTCCAAGGTATGACTATAAATACCGTATTTTTCGCTCTATAGGACGCACCAGACAATAAGACGCACCTAGGTTTTTTTGGGGGGGGGGGGAGGAAACAAGAGAAAAAAATTCTGAATCCCAGAAGCCAGAACAGCAAGAGGGATCTGGCATCTGGGATAGCCGCTGAAGCCTCTCCTGGGCAGCGGGATGAAGACTCCCCCTGCCTGGAAGAGGCTGCGCGTGGGTAAGCTGCCCTCTGTACCTTCCCCCATCTCCCGCAAGAACCGCACGCTCTTTAAAGGGAGCGTGGTTCTTGGAGGCCTTTCTGGGAGGTGGGGGAAGGGACAGAGCCGCGCACTCTGTCCCTTCCCCCCACTTCCCACAAGAGCCGCGTGAAGCCTCTGCAGGGTAGCGGGGAGCCTTCATCGCCATGCCGTACGGAGGCTTCACGGGGCTATCCAAAAGCTGCGCAGCGCTCCCACTAGCTGGTCTAGCTTTGCGCGAAGCCAGCTAGAGGCACAGGGAGCCTTCATCCCCGTGTCCTGCGGAAGCTTCTGGGCAGCCTGCTAAGCCGGAAGCTAGAACAGCGAAACAGAGCACTGTGCAGCGCTCCCTCTCCCTGTTCTGGCTTCTGGCTTAGCCGTGCAGCCTGCATTTGCTCCATAAGACGCACACACATTTTCCCTTACTTTTTAGGAGGGGAAAAGTGCGTCTTATAGAGCAAAAAATACGGTAACTACGTTCTGCAACAGGAGCAGCATGCTGCTATTTTGGGGCTGGCAAGGGGACAGGGAAAGCACTGCAAAGGGTGGGTGGGTGCTTAATGGGATGCCACAGAAACACCGAGGAAGCAAATCAAGAAGAATGCTCATTGTCCTGTAGCCACTTTGCAAACAAATCTGAACAAATGCCCGATAAAGACTGGATAAAGGTTGCTTCTGGCTGACTTGCTCATTGAGCATTCGTCCTGATTTGTTTGGAGGGAGATTAGATAACATTGGCTATTTAATGAGCGCTCATACTGGCTTGTTTGCAGGGACGTTAGGGCGAAGCTGCGTCAAAGCAACTGTGATCCCACAGACTTTCCAGCGCATTTTTCCACTACAGTCATACCTCGAGTTGAATGTGCTTCAGGTTGAGCGCGTTCGAGATGCGCTCCGCGGCAACCCGGAAGCAACGGAGCGCGTTGCTTCTGGGTTTCGCCGCTCGCGCATGCGCAGACGCTCAGAATGACATCATGCGCATGCGCGGAAGCGGCAAAACGCGACCCATGCACGTGTAGAGGCGCCGTCGCTTGTTACGTTCGCTTCAGGATGCGAACAGGGCTCCGGAACAGATCCCATTTGCATCCCGAGGTACCACTATACTTCCTTTCACACACAAACACACATCTTTTGGAATACTAGGAAGCTGCCTTAAACTGAATCAGACCACTGGGTCCATCTAGTTCAGTATTGTCTACACTGACAGGCAGCACCTCTCCAGGGTTTCAGGAAGAGGGCTCCTCTCAGCCCCACATGGAGATGTTGAACCTGCTCTGAGACTGAGCTATGGCTGGTTCGTTGCACAATACCTCCCCGTCAATTGTGCAACCTCAATTTGCCGGTATGTGATTGAATCCCACCCAAAAACAGCAGCCGCCTGGAAGTGTCTACAGTCTAAGCTAGGTGAGGCAGGGACAGCTCAGTTGGTATAGCATGAAACTCCTCATCTCAAGGTCGTGAGTTCGAACCCCACATTGGGCAAAAGATTCCTGTATTGCAGGCGGTTGGTTGCCATTAATTTGATTCTGAATTGATTTTAGAATGAATTGATTTTAGAATGTATTTTAGTTAATTGCTTGTGATTTTATGTAAATTGTGTTACTTTTACTGTTGTTAGCTGCTCTGAGCCCGGCTTCAGCTGGGGAGGGCAGGATATAAACAAAAAATTATTACAGTGGTACCTCGGGTTAAGTACTTAATTCGTTCTGTAAGTCCCTTCTTAACCTGAAACTGTTCTTAACCTGAAGCACCACTTTAGCTAATGGGGCCTCCCGCTGCCGTTGCACTGCCGGAGCATGATTTCTGTTCTCATCCTGAAGCAAAGTTCTTAACCTGAATCACTATTTCTGGGTTAGTGGAATCTGTAACCTGAAGCGTATGTAACCTGAAGTGTATGTAACCAGAGGTGCCACTGTATTTTTATTATTATTATTATTATTACATGACCCTCGAGGTCCCTTCCAACTCTACAATTCTACGAAAGCTTTGTGCAAGCAAATCAGAATGAGTTCTCGAGGAACAGCTTGCCTGGAGGAGCTGTAATTTCTCTCTCTCACACACACATACACAAACCTTCCAAAACAAGGCTCCTCCTGGCTCCAGAACTCATGCTCATTTTGGAACAAAAGACCCCAAGAGTTTACAAATGATCTCTAAAAGACGGGCAGGAGGACACACAGGACCTGGCGATGCTTCAAGAGACGTCAGCTGTCATCCTTCGGCGAAGAAGACAACACCAAGCTACCACCATTGAGGTCGCCATTTTCCATGTCCAAACATCCCGGAAAATGCTCCTTCACCTGCCCAGAGACTGAGAGGCCACAGTTCAGTGGTGGAATGATGTTTTGGTCACACAAGGGTCAAGGTTCCAGCCCTGGTACGGAAAGGACCATGCCCTGGGAGAAAAACCGACAAATCTGAATACGGTCGTAGGTTAGAGCAGGATTCGGGGGCACCAATGACCCTCCAAGTGGACTACAACTCCCATCATCCCCGGCCACGCTGCCTGCTTCCGGAAAACCCAGCGAGTTTCACAGCTCTGCGTGGCGTTTCGCCTGCTTCTCCCTTGCTGACAGACGGGGAGCTGTTCCTCTCAGGTCCCCTCCAGTCGGCTGGTCTTTCTCCAGCTCAGATACGACGGAGTCTTCCGTGGGGTCCTCTCTTGCCATCCCCGGTGATGCCTTTCCTCTGGGGGGGCTTTCCTCCTCTTCCTTCTGGTAGCTTCCGACGCTCCCCCGGCTGTAGATGGTAAATTCCGGCAGCGACGGTTCCATCATGCTCAGGAAGTCGTAGGCGGGGAGGCGGGGCTTCCACTCGTCACCCGACAGGACGGCTGGGGGCGGGACAGGAAGAGCACATCGAAAAGTCAGGATAGCGCTTACCGTTGTGTTAACAGGTTCTGTTAGCGGAGAAATCTGAGGGCTCCCTTGGACAAAAAACAAGGATACCAGCCAGGAATACCAGAGCAAAACAGCAGCCAGTAGGCTTGGTCTTTATTGAAGACTGTCGCGACAGGACTCCCACCTGCCACAAGGTGGAACAAGATGGAAGCCCCAAACAAAAGAGCCCCCAAACTTAAGGGAAGCGGGTGGTGCTGTGGGTTAAACCACAGAGCCTAGGATTTGCCGATCAGAAGGTCGGCGGTTCGAATCCCTGCGACGGGGTGAGCTCCCGTTGCTCGGTCCCAGCTCCTGCCAACCTAGCAGTTCGAAAGCACATCAAAATGCAAGTAGATAAATAGGTACCGCTCCGGCGGGAAGGTAAATGGTGTTTCCATGCGCTGCTATGGTTTGCCGGAAGCGGCTTAGTCATGCTGGCCACATGACCCGGAAGGTGTACGCCGGCTCCCTCGGCCAGTAAAGCGAGATGAGCGCCGCAACCCCAGAGTCAGCCACGACTGGACCTAATGGTCAGGGGCCCCTTTACCTTTACCTTAGCAACAGGGAGTCAGTAGTGGGGATGGTGAGGCAAAAGACCCTGGGCCCAAGCACAAATGCATATTGCATAAAGGTGCAAAGCCCTTCTTTTGCACCCTGTGAAACATAAATGCGCAGAGTTTTTAAAAAACTGGCCGCCCGCCCGCAACTCCCGAGCCTCCCCCGATCAGTCAAAACAAAGAGGGAAGGGGGCAGAAGATCTGTACCGCCGCACGTCCCTGGTTCCCCTTCAGTAGTGGCGGCAGCAGCAGCAGTAAGCAGCCCGGAGCCAGCCTGGTAGCGCAGTTGGCTCTGGCTGGCTTCAGGAGCTGCTTGCTGCCTGCTGCCGTGGTGCCCGCCATTTTTCCTCACCGGAACGGAATAATGGCGGGCGCCATAGCAGTGGGCAGCTCCTGAAGCCAGCCAGAGCTGAGGCTGCCGCTGCCATGTAATTATTATTATTATTATTATTATTATATTATTAATTATTTATATCCCGCCACTCTGGGCGGCTCCCAACAAAATATTAAAATACAGTAATGCATCAAACATTAAAAGCTTCCCTAAACAGGGAATGTTTCCATGTTTCCTCAGGACAGATTTGCAAATCTGGGGACATTCCGGGGACGTAATTTGTCTGGGGACAGATTTGCAAATCCGGGGACTGTCTCCGGGAATCGGGGACGTCTGGTAACCCTATGCTAGAGAGCAGTTTTGCATGATCTCAGAATCCTTTTTAGTAAGCAACGTGACACGTTTGCTAGCGATAGCAAGATATCTCCACTGGGTGGTTGTTATCATTTTTGTTTTAAAATTACCAGTAAAAGCATCCTTTCGGTGGTTAGAATTTCCCAGTGCAAGCGTAACTTCTCATAAGTGAAGTCAAGTTCTTAGCAATGATGGAGGACCTGTAAGCTTGAGGGAAAGAAAGCCCAATGCAGAGGGCCTATTTTTTTTGGAGGGGGTGAAATCTCATCGTCAGAAGCACGGAAGCAGACCAAAGAAGTCTGGTTCATGCTTTTTGAATTTTCTCCAGATCTCCTTCCATCTTCGGGCGCCAACGACACTGAGCGCCAGCAGGAGGAGAGTCCAAGACATACCGTATTTTTCGCTCTATAAGACGCACCAGACCACAAGACGCACCTAGTTTTTGGAGGAGGAAAACAAGGGGGAAAATATTCTGAATCTCAGAAGCCAGAACAACAAGAGGGATCGCTGCGCAGCGAAAACAGCAATCCCTCTTGCTGTTCTGGCTTCTGGGATAGCTGTGCAGCCTGCATTCGCTCCATAAGATGCACACACATTTCCCCTTACTTTTTAGGAGGGAAAAAGTGAGTCTTATAGAGCAAAAAATACGGTAATTGGTTAAGAAGGGACAACTTTGCATACTTACTGCTCGGAATTTCTTGGCCGGATTTCAGCTTTTCGATCCAAGCTAAGACGTTCGCTTCAGAAACCAACTGATCTGGAGGAAAAGCAAACACTTGCCCCCCGGAATGGAGGTTGATCCAGAGGAGGAGAGGCAGCGGAGGGAGGGAGCTCCCGAAATAGGCCTTTAGGATTCCTCTTCCTGCAGGGGTCCTTTTGCTGCCATTGGAAAAACCAGGAGATTAAATGATAGCACTTAGTGAGTGGAAAAGTAAACAGCTGCGCTCCAAAGAGGCACTTTAAAAGGACCCAGTCTGAGCTCCCTGACAGATGCAGATGCCGTTAAACTGATTTCGATCCCCAGAAGCATTTGGGGTTGTTTTAAGCCGCAACCGCAGGCTCTGGATCACGAAGGCCGCAGAAGGCGTTTGCCCTGGATTCTGGGAAATGGCACGCTCTCGTGGCGTAAATGGATTCGTTAAAAACAAAGCAAAATGGAGCACAGAGTGTCAGATCTAAAAAGCTTTTTGGGGTAAAAGCTTTTAACTCACATGCGGGATAAGAAACAAGCAAATTCTAACTTGAGAAAGAGCCCAGCGACAATATATTATTATTATTATTATTATTAATAATAATAATAATAATAATTCTAACTCGAGAAAAAGCCCAGCAACAATATATTATTATTATTATTATTATTATTATTATTATTATTATTATTATTATTAAATTTGTATACTGCCCTACACCCGTAGATCTCAGGTCAGTTAAGATAGTAAAATTCATGTTAAATTGCTGTTTTAGGGGTTGTTTTTTAAAGTCTGGAACAGATTAATCCGTTTTGCATTACTTTCTATGGGAAAACACGCCTTGGTTTTGGAACGCTTTGGTTTTGGAACAGACTTCCGGAACGGATTAAGTTTGAGAACCAAGGTACCACTGTACTACACTGAAATGTTGAAATGTTCCTTTGACTGCCCTCGAATCTTCCCACTACACTTGCCACACCTTCGGAGAATCACCGCCCTAAGACGTTGCTTACAGGTTCATCCAGCAAGGAACGAACTCTTCCCGGTGCTCTTCTGTGGCCAAACGCCTCATTTCTCCTTCCTGGCTTTCAGCCAGGGCCCCATCGCTGAACAGGAGGAGCAAAGGTTTCTCCAGCTGAAAGTATTCTGGGAGGTTGTCCACTGTGATTTCCGGCTGCAACAGGAATCAGTCGGTCAGTTTTATTGCACATAGCCAAAGGCTGCCGCAATGTACACAGAATCATTCAACAATTAAAAGAAAATACAGTGGTACCTCGGGTTACATACGCTTCAGGTTACATACACTTCAGGTTACAGACTCCGCTAACCCAGAAATAGTATCTCAGGTTAAGAACTTTGCTTCAGGATGAGAACAGAAATTGTGCTCCAGCGGCATGGCGGCAGCAGGAGGCCCCATTAGCTAAAGTGGTGCTTCAGGTTAAGAACAGTTTCAGGTCAAGAACAGACCTCCGGAACGAATTAAGTACTTAACCCGACGTACCACTGTATACTGAATTGATACAAGAAACTGAAAACATTTATATTATCAATACATTACCTACTCTAAACAGAGCTATAAAAGTACCTTAATATACAAATTAAGACATTAAACAATAAAATTTATAAGCTAGAATTATCACAGGGCCACTAATATATTAAAAAAATAATGTTAATTAATACAATGTGCAATTATATTCAGAGTTTGGTGATTATCAAAGATAGAATAAAGGTTGATGCAGATAGGGGCAAATACATTGATCTCCTTTACAGTTGGTGGCTATATTGGCTATATAATTTGCTCTAATTTTCCTAGCAGCAGTTGCAAAGAGTGCTACACGCCAGGTCACATACTTATCTGTGTCTGGAGGAGATAGAAAATCACGTGAGAGGGGTTCTGGCCAGGGGACCTTGTCATTATAGGTGCTAAAAATCGTTTCCTTGCTTCATTATATATGGGGCAGCCCAATATATAATGCATAAGGTCCTCTACTTCAGGACATCCCCTAATGCAAACACGTTCGTTTGTTGGTATGCCTCTGTGTCTCCCATCTCTATAAGCAGAGTTTATTGTATTTAAGTGTAACTCTGTAAAAGCTTTCCGAAGTCGTGCAAAAGTCAATTCATTAAAGTAAGATGTGTGTTCCTAGGCCACTCTAAGTTTAAATTACAATGGGGCGCATGTAGATGTGTACATAGAGTTTAGATCGTTTTTAGTTGCCACTGCCCTCATGGTTCGTTTAAAGATATTTTTCTGGGAATATAAGGGAAGTTCTTTTATCTCAGTCATATTTGCCCATCAGTTGGGCAGCGTGATGTACCCAGTTTTTAAGGGGTAATCCGTTCGACAGCTCATTCAGGCATTTTTTGGATAGCCTAGTGTTGTCCATCTGTTGAACTCTAAACCAGCAACAGAGAATTCTTTTTTCTATTTGGCTCTCTAACAACAGGAATCAGAGAAAAGTGTAGAGTTGGAATGGACCTAAAAGGTCATCCAGCCTGACCCCGTGCAATGCAAGAATCCCAGGAGAGGGGTGGGCGGGCAGACGGGACAAATATTACAAGGGAAGGAAGGGGTGCCAGATCCGAATCCGGAAAAAGGAGCTCTGCATCTTTAACGCTGAGATCAGAAGCAGAGAACGTGCTTACAAAGGTTTCCAGTAATGCACGGCGGATAACTTCAACCACGTCTTGCACGCTGAACTTTGAGAGCTGGATAACCGTCCTCGCCTCTGGCCTAGCAAGCAGCAGAGCTGGAAGGGGCGCCTTGTATTTATGGGACCTGGGAGGAAAAGACAGAAAGAAACACATTTCAAAAACTCTTTTGAAGATACAGAAGATCACCCGATTAAAGGGATCTAAGCCAAATTATCGCACGAGCTTTTTACAGATGGTTTATCAATTTCCGTATTTTTTGCTCTATAGGACGCACCCGACCATAGGACGCACCTTGTTTTAGAGGGGGAGAACAAGAAAAATTCTCCCCCTCTCTGCTCAGCGCCCCTTCAGCGAAGCGGCAGGAAAAACGGAGCTCCTTCCATGTCTCCTGCCGCTTCGCTGAAGGGGTGCTGCGCAGAGAGGGGGAGAAATTTTTTTTCTTGTTCTCCCCCTCTAAAACAAGGTGCGTTCAGTGCGTTCAAGATGCACTCAGTCGCCTTCAGTGAAGGTAACCCAAAGCCTCAGGAGCGCAGCGGGAGTTCCCGCTGCGCTCCAGAGCCTTCGGGTTCCTTTCGAACTGCTCTTTGGGGCTGGCGCCAGCCCCAAAGACCAGGTCGGGGAGCCTTCCTGCTGCTCCCCGAGCTTGTGGGGCTGGCAGTGGGGGGAAGAGCTGCTTTCCCCCACCGCCAGCCTCAAAGACCAGCTCGGGGCTGGCAGGGAAGCCCGGGTTCCCCCTCCCCCAGCCCCATGGACCACACATTCGCTCCATAAGGCGCACAGACATTTCCCCTTAGATTTTAAGAGGGAAAAAGTGCGTCTTATGGAGCGAAAAATACGGTATATTGGCAGACAGTCAACCAATATAAACAAATGAAACAATACTTTTTCGAAGGAAAAATGCACACATTGTTTTCGGGAAACAGATACTGTCCACCTTGGTAGTTCAATCGGTAGAGGGTGAGACTCTTAAACCCGGGGTTGTGGGTTCGAAACCCGTGTTGGGGTCCTCTCCAACACCACAGTTCTGTGATTCTCTGTCACAGCAATCATCTCAGAAAAGGTATTTATTTTCCCCTTTCTCCATGGACCTCAGCACAGTCCTCACGTTCTCTCTGCCCAGCCCTCATTTTAACCCCACAACAACCCTGTGAGGTAGGGCAGGTTAGGCTGAGAGATGGCAGCTGCCAGACCTAAACTGCCCTATGAGCTTCGCAGGTGAGTGGGGATCTCTTTTTTGGGAAAGAACAAAACAATACTTTTATCCAGTCCTGAGCATCTCCAGGTTAAGACTGAGAAAGACCCCAGCCTGATATTGTGCAGAGTCACTGCCGCTCAGTGTGGACAGCACTGATTTAGATGGACCAAGGCCCATCTCTATGCTCCTATGATGCACACACTGGCCGTCAGTAGATGCTGCTCACTGCTTTAGGGCATGGCATCTCCCAGTAGGGCTAGGATGTGGGGCTACGTTTGAAGGTGACCAGGAAACTACAACTAATCCAGAATGCGGCAGCTAGACTGGTGACTGGGAGCGGCTGACGGGACCACATAACACCGGTCCTGAGAGATCTGCATTGGCTCCCAGTACGTTTCCGAACACAATTCAAAGTGTTGGTGCTGACCTTGAAAGCCCTAAATGGCCTCGGTCCAGTATACCTGAAGGAGTGTCTCCACCCCCATCGTTCAGCCCGGACGCTGAGGTCCAGCGCCGAGGGCCTTCTGGCGGTTCCCTCACTGCGAGAAGTGAGGTTACAGGGAACCAGACAGAAGGCCTTCTTGGTAGTGGCGCCCACCCTGTGGAACGCCCTCCCACCAGATGTGAAGGAAATAAGCAGCTATCCTATCTTTAAAAGACATCTGAAGGCAGCCTGTTTAGGGAAGTTTTTAATATTTAATGCTGTACTGTTTTTAACATTTGATTGGGAGTCGCCCAGAGTGGCTGGGGAGACTCAGCCAGATGGGTGGGGTATAAATAATAAATTATTATTATTATTATTAATTATTATTATTGGAGCACTCCCTGGCCTGAAACCCTGGGGAAGCTGCTGCCAGTCAGGGTAGACATTATTGAGCTAGATGGACCATTGGCTTGAATAAGTATAAGGTAGCCTTCCAGCTTCCTGCGTTCCCTCGTCCTAGCTCATCACTTAAATTCAGGGGTGGAGAACCTTTTGGCATTCCCATCAGCACCAGACAGCATGGCCGACAGAGATGGATGATGGGAGTTGTAGTCCAACAACAACTTTGGGTGGGGGCACAGGTTTTCTATCTCTGCTCTAACCACTAGGCAGGAGGTTTGCAATGGCTGCTCTAGACTAGGGGTCAGCAAGGTGGGCCAGATTGCACGCACCCGCGATTTCCAGTGCCTGCACAGACGCGATTTCCAGCGTCGCAGAAGCGAGTCCCCACGTGGCGCTGCACCAGTTTAGCGCAGCGCGCGGGGACTCGCTGAGCGGGCGGCTCGGGGGCCGGTTAAACGATCCCCCGTGGGCTGCTTATGGCCCATGGGCCTTAAGTTGACGACCCCTGGTCTAGACCGAGTGAGTCGCTCAGCGAGTTCAGAGCAAGCTAGCAATCCACCTACAGGATCTGGGCATCCTCTTCGTGATAGATTCCAGTTGTGACATATCCACTGAGGACTCTCCCGGCTCCAACGAAAGCTTCTCTTGCTGTAAAAACAGATAACCCAGTCTGTAAATCATTGAATCACAGAAGTGTAGGGTTAGAAGGGAACCCAAAGGTCATCCAATCCAGCCCCCGTCCCCCGCAACGCAGGAATGTCAGCTAAATATACAGGAACAAGCAGAAGTTCTTGAAGCACCAAATGCAGAGAGATCCAGTTCAGAAGATGTTTTTCTCTCCCTGGTATCAGCTAGGCTCCCCTTCCCTTTAATGCTTTTCTCATTATTATTTTTGCAGATAATTAATTATCAGATTAAATCAAAACAGGTTTGCTGGTGTTTATCCAGCCACCCCGGTTCAATTTCCTGGAGAAAGCTGAATCCAATAGGTTTATCGCTTTGTGGCAAAACGCAGATCTCGCCTCGAGAGACAAAAGCTCCCTGTGTCCCGTCATATATCATGTCAGAACCTAATGATAAGACTCAGCACCCTGCAATTAGACAGAGGCCACCTCACAGATGCTCCTTTTTATTGTCCAATCATTATGATTTGCACTTGCGACGCTATCAGGGCAGTCACACACGATCCTGCTTTCAAATACCGTTTTGGGGCAGACTGTATTCCCATTCAGTTCATGTCCTGCAGCTTCCTGCTGTTATAAGAATTTAAGGTCTTAAATATATAAAATAAATGTTCATAAATATACTAGGCAAACGTATACTTAAATATATAAACCATATAATAATAATAATAATAATTTATTATTTGTACCCTGCCCATCTGGCTGGGTTTCCCCAGCCACTCTGGGCGGCTTCCATAGAAACCAAAAATACACTAAAATATCACACGTTAAAAACTTCCCTGAACAGGGCTGCCTTAAGATGTCTGCTGAATGTCAGGTAGTTGTTTATCACTTTGACATCTGATGGGAGGGCGTTCCACAGGGCAGGCGCCACTACCGAGAAGGCCCTCTGCCTGGCTCCCTGTAGCTTTGCTTCTCACAATGAGGGAACCGCCAGAAGGCCCTCGGCGCTGGACCTCAGTGTCTGGGCAGAACGATGGGGGTGGAGACGCTCCTTCAGGTATACTGGGCCGAGGCCGTTTAGGGCTTTAAAGGTCAACACCAGCACTTTGAATTGTGCTCGGAAACGTACTGGGAGCCAATGTAGGTCTTTCAAGACCGGTGTTATGTGGTCTCGGCGGCCGCTCCCAGTCACCAGTCTGGCTGTCGCATTCTAGATTAGTTGTAGTTTCCGAGTCACCTTCAAAGGTAGCCCCACGTAGAGAGCATTGCAGTAGTCCAAGCGGGAGATAACTAGAGCATATGTCTGAAACAGTACAGGAGAGCAATCCTGAAACCATTTTGACTCTCCCAAATTGACCTCAAATGTTTCTCTGCAAGGAGGAAGGAAATGGGAAAAGCCTCCCCATTGTCTCTGTGCTCAGAAATCCTGCCTTAAGGGCACATTTGGGTATTGTCAGGGAACTGCCATCGGACGGAAGGGAGGTGAAAGGGCTCACACAGGTTGGGAGAGACGCAGCAGCTGAAGAGGGAACCAACAGGGAGGTGAAAGGGCTCACACAGGTTGGGAGAGACGCAGCAGCTGAAGAGGGAACCAGCAGGGGAGAGGAGCTGAGCTGGAGGGATGGCTCAGAGACACTTCCAGCGAAAACAGTGGAGAGGTTTCAGGACCTCCTGTAAGAACACCCACTCCTCGCCGGAAACTGTCACGCAGAGAGTCCAGAAGACGTGTTTCCGTTAAGGAGCTTTTATGTTGGAAGCGATTACGAAAGCAACCACTGTCGGAATCTGCTAGTGACTAGAGGAGCCATGTCTGAGGGGCTCCGTCACAGACAGAGGTTTGTGCACTTGAACAAACTCTGAGGGGATACGATTTTACGCACAAGCAGCTCATCATCTCATCACAGCATTCCGACAGTCTTTGAAAGCAGCTTGTGCAGGAGAAGGCATCATGAGCAACCCAGCCGGAACCGGAGAAGCAGGAGCTGGAGCGGGTCCAAGCCTGGAAGAAAGGTACCGGGTGTTGGAGGTCCAGCTAGCGATGCAGACGGCGAGGCTTGAGGAGAGGAGGGCGCAGGATGCAGACAAAAAGGGGAAAGCCACCCAGCTCGCCAGAAAGGTACCAGGATTGGTGCAGAAGTTTGGGGGAGCCCAAAACTATCATGGCTTTCGGACAGAAATGCAATATGCCCTCAATCTGCAGTTTGATGAATTCCTGACGAGGAATCACGAGTGGCTTTCGTGATTGAGCATCTTGAAAAGGGGGCGAGAGACTGGGTTAGACCCTTGATGGCAGCGAATAGTGACGTCCTAAAGGACACGATGAAGTTCTTTCGCGCCATGGATCTGATGTTTTCCAGCGATATTGAAAAGGGAGTGGTGCGCAGACAGTTAATGGCTTGCAAACAGGGGAGCCGATCTGTCCGTGAGTACTGGACTGAGTTCACCATGCTTGTTCACAGATTGGGGTGGGACTTATCGGCGGAACCCATTCAAATGCTCTTTGAAGAAGGGCTTTCTTCGGCTGTGAAAGACGAACTTTCCCGGGCGCCCAGGGTGGAGTCTATGGACCAGCTGACCAAATCAGCGCTGGCCATAGGAGCGCGCCAGGAGGCGAGAGCATTGGAGAGGCGGGAAGGGAAAGGGGAACGTTGGAAGGAGTTCCGCATTCCAGACATTCCAGAGCCAACTTTCCCACCGGCAGAGCCGATGGAAATCGGAACAGCGCGCGCGCGCAGTTTCAAAGCCCAGTGAGGGGGAAAAAGGAGGGAAAAGGCGCCCGGAAATGCTATCTCTGCCAACAGCCAGGTCACTTTGCCAGAGTCTGCCCCCAGAGGAAAGAATGGCAAGGGATGGTAGGAGCTGTGGATGGAAGAGAGGAAGATATACCGGAGCAAGTACAAGCCAACGCCTGGCTGCCACTGTCGGGGCACAGCAGCCAGGCCAAAGAGCAGTGAGAGTGCCCACGCCAGAACCTCCTAAACCCGCCCTAGTGATAGAAGTGACGCTAGAGCTGCCAAACGGACACCCTCTAAAGATAAAGGCGCTGTTGGACTCAGGCAGCTCCTGCAATTTCATGAGCAAAGAGTTTGCAGCTGAACACCAGATACAGACGATCCCTTTAAGCAGCCCCCTGCAGGTGACCACGATCGATGGCAGGGAGCTGTTGGGAGGAGAAGTCAGCTTGCAGACCGTCCCAATGATAATGAAGGTAGCAAGGCACACCGAACTGATAGCTTTTAATGTGGCCACCTTGGGAGGAGCTCCCATTATATTGGGGATGAGCTGGCTAGCGTTACATGATCCGCTGGTGGGCTGGCATCAGAGAGTGGTTTCTTTTGGTTCAGCACATTGCTTAGAA